TTGGCATATGCTGATATTTGACACTGTTCGTGTTCTTATACAGAAAAAAAAATCAATGTTTTAATCAGAAATTAAAACTAGAACTCAGTCTACAGTAGCGCAAAAGAGGATTTGATCCCAGTTCTACATTCAATAGAATTGAAATTTAACTGTATGTTTTTCTTCTACAGCGTGGAGGTCCAGAATAAGTGTAGAAGATAGTTTGCTGACCACTGCTGAAGAATGAAGTACTATATTCACAATAAAGGCATTTCCTTAATATTAAAAATTATTGTATACTAATAGTTTTAATAAAAACCCATATGATGGGTGAGAAGGTTGACACAACACATAAGATACCAATTTGTGACCGAGAAGGATTTTCTGTTGATGGGAAACTAGCAATTGAATATATATGATGTCTGCACCATTAAAATATTTTTCTAATTAGCCATTTGCAAAGTCAACAATTTAGCAGTCATTTTATTTTTCTACTGACTGAGATCACAAAATGACAGAATGGATAAAGTTGGAAGGGACCACAGTGGGTCATCTGGTCCAACCTCTCTGCTCAAGCAGGGTCATCCCACAGTACATGGCACAGGATTGTGTACAGACAGTTCTTGAATATCGCCAGTGAGGGAGACTCCACAACCACTCTGGGCACTCTGTTCAGTGTGCAGTCACTCACACTGACTTTCCTTGATCAACTAGATGGGTTACCTTGTCATAGAAGGAAATCAGGTTTAACAAGCAGGACTTTCCTCTCATGAAGCCGTGCTGGCTGTGACCAGTGACTGCATTATCTTTCAGGTGTTTTTCAGTACTCCCCAGCATAATTTTTTCCATAACTTTACCAGGTACTGAAGAGAGACTGACAGACCTGTAGTTTCCAGGGCCCTTTTTGCCCTTCTTGAAAATTGGGAAATTGTTTGCCAGCTTCCAGTCAGCTGGGACCTCTCTGTAATTCCCAAGAGAGCTCAAAAATAATTGAGGGAGGTTGTGCAATGACATCAGCCAACTCTCTGAGGATTCTGGGATGAATCCCATCAGACCCCATACGTTTGTAGGCATCCAACTGGAGCGGCAGATCCCACGCAAGTTCAGAGACAACTTGGAGTTGATCATTCTCACAGTCATGGGTCTCCAACTCAGGGCACTGAAACCCCCTTGGTCCATCATCCATGTTGAAGACAGAGGCACAGAAAGCGTTAAACACCTCTGCCTTGTCCCTGTCCCTGATTGTGAGGTGGCCATCCTCATCCTGTAATGGGCTGGTAATAATTCTATACTGCCACTTATCATTAATGTATTTGAAAGAACTCTTTTTATTGTCCCCCACATTTCTGGCAGCTTCAACTCCAGCTGAACTTTGGCAGCACCAATTTTCTCCCCACAGCAGCAAGCAGCATCTCTGAATTCTTCCCATGTCACTTGACTTTGCTTCCACTGGGCATATACGCCTTTCCTTTTTGCCTTATTTCCAAGAGAAGATTCTGACTCAGCCAAGCCAGCCTTCTGCCTTGCCTGCTTGATTTCCGACATTTGGGAATTGTTGCTCCTGTGCCCTACGGAGGTGAAGTTTAAAAAGTGACCAGCACTGATGGACTTCAGCACCGGCAAAAACATTTTCTCAGGAGACTTTCCTAATTCCATGAGCAACCTGAAGTCCACTCTCCTTCATGTCCGGAGTTGAGGTTTTGCTGGCACTTTTGTTCCTGTCAACAGAGATTTTAAACTCAATCCCTTTGTGGTTGCTGTGGTCAAGATGGCCACCAATCTCCAGTTTGCTCACAAGATCCACTCTGTGAACAAACAGCAGATCAAGGAGGGCATCTTTCTGAGTCAGCTCCCTTAGGACTTGTTCCATAAAGTCATCATCCAGTTTTTTTAGGAATTTTCTGGCCCAGGTTGTACCAGGTGTGTGATGTTCTCAGTTAATTTCTGGCAAGTTGAAGTCCCCCATAAGGACCGGGGCAGTTGACTTGGAATTGTATTTAGTTCCTCCAAGAATAATTCATCAGTGTCATCATCCTGGTCGGGAGGTCTGTAGCAGATTCCCACAATGACATCCACATTATATGTTGACCCCTTGATTCTTACCCAGAGGCTCTCAACTGTGCCACTGCCCACTGTGAGTTCCATACATTCTAACACTTCTATTACATACAGTGCCACCTCTCCGCCTCTTCTGCCCTGCCTATTCCTCCTGAAGAACCTGTAACCATCCAGCAGGGCACTCCAGTCTCAGAATTCATCCCACCAGGTTTCACTTATGCGAGTGATGTCAAATCTTTGGGACTGGGATGAATCTTCAAAGTCCTCTTGTTTGTTCCTCATGCTGGGTACATTAGTGTAGAAACATTTGAGGTGTGGTACTTTGTGGCCAACACCTTGTGAAGCATATTGAGGGATGCCCTTAGTGCTCGTTTCTTCAAGTTTTGGCACACCATCCCATGGCTCATCACTGACCTGTGAGGTTGGTCTTTTCCATTTCCCCCTTCCAAACTTGTTTAAAGTTCTATTAGTGTCTCACTAACTCCTGTGTTAGAACTCTCTGTCCCCTCTGAGATAGGTGCATCCCATCAGGTATCAGTAGACGATCATCCTATACTCAAAGAACCAAAAATTTTTGTGATTACACCAGTCTCAGTCATGCATTGACTTGATGGATCTACCTATTCCTATCAATATTGTTCCTTGTTACCAAAAGGATCAAGAAAATCGCTACCTCTGCTCTTGATCCTGCAACCAATCATTCCAGGGCCCTGAAGTCTCTTTTGACTGCCCTCGGACTTCTCTTTTTTATTTCATTGCTGTCAGTTTGAACAGCAATAATGGATAGTAATCAGAAAACCTAACTAGACTTGAGAGTATTCCAGTAATGTCTCTTACCCATATGGTAGTTTTCTGATAAAATATGAAAGTGATCTTGGATCTGCAACATACTTGTTTGGATACAAATGATGAAAATGTTTATGTTGTCATAAAATGTTTCACTTGTTACTATCTGAAGGGATTGCAGGAAGTTTTTGTATTAAAAATGAGTCTTCAACTATGCTTTGTGAAGGACAAAAATGCACATTACAGCAACTTTTTTTAGTTAAAGACCCTACTTTACTCAACAAGTTCAATTGTAGCAATAGTAAGTAATTTTGTTTAATGCGCATGGTGATACTTCTGTTGTATGGTTGCTACTGGTAGCAGTTGTTGTGAAAAGCATTCTTGGTTTTATCAGAATATTTTCTTAACTTTTGTCGTCTGGAAATATCCATGGTGGGATTCTGGACTTGAAATTTCAGGGCAGTAGATGATTGAGGCAGAAGGACTGCCCAGTTTACAGCCCAAGCTTAGAGACTATGCTAATTTTACTAGAATCATTCTAAGATCTCATTTCTCCCTGTCCTAGTTAGAACAACTGGGACCGATTCATCGCTGGATGGGTGTAGCCCAGAGCTGTGTATTCTATGACCTTCCATGCCATTTCCCAGAAACTGTTGTCAGTAGAGGCCTGCGAGGTGGGGGGATGTTCCTGTCCTCATGCCCTTTTTTGGAATTCCCTACTCTGAGGGAAGGACTGAGCATCCTTTTATGGAATTCCCTGCTCTGAGGGAGGGACTTAGCATTCCTGCCTGAGTTGGAGAATATATAAACCTGGAGTTTCAGAACCTTTCCACCACTCGTGGGATCCAGAGGAGGACTGCAGTTCACCGCTCTCAACCAGACTGCTGTTCACTGTTCTCAACCGGACTGAGACCACCACCCTCGGTTGGACTGTAAATCACTACTTTTGACCAGACTGCAGTAGCTCTCCCACCGGCAGGTTTTTTCCCCTCTCCCTTTGCTTTGGACTCTGGGGGGGGGTCCAGGGTGCACCGCTTTGTTTGTGCCCCGGGGTGCTGGGTTGTACATTTGGGCTTTGTGGGTTAGGACCGGTTGCTTGTCTGTGTGGTTGTACTTATTGTATTATTTTATTAAATTGTTATTCTGACTTGTAATCTCTCTTTTGAGTTGGGTTGGTTTCCCCTGCTGGTTAACTTTTAAACCAGCACATTTGTGGCGCCCAACGTGGGGCAGAGAGAGAGAGAAGTCAGAATCACAATTTCATTTTAAGCATTTGTCTATTTGGATAGAGAAACTCCCTGATCACCATGTTGTTTGATGCATTCACGTGGATGTTGTATCTGAGTCTGTTCATATTTCCACAGATGGGGTACTATTTGTCTGTTTTGATGCTCTCTTTAAAACCAGGGAGAGGGATCAAAATTGCTTTATTAGTATACTATATTTATGTCATCATAACATCAGAAGCAATGAGTTTCATTGTAAATGTGTATTCAGTCCTGTTTGCATGTCCTGGTTTGGGTTACTACCTCTGGGGCCTCAATAAAAATCGCACCAAGCCCTTTGGGGAAACGGGGGAATGGTTGTTTCCAACCTCTCACCTCCTTCTTCCCCTTCAGACCTGCTACAACAGTTTTTGAAAATATTGAGTTCCCTTTTGATGTTAAGGACAGCATAATGTTATTGTTAGTGTTGCTTTGTCTGCTCTGTACTGTCCACACTATGTTTAGGGACAGAACAGGGCCTTTTAGGGAGGTTGTTTGGATGCCTGCCCTGGGAGTGGATAATGCTGAGTGGCACGGGAAGTGGGAGGACATCGACCAGTATTTGGAGAAGTTTTCTCCTCCAATGATCTGGAAATTCACCCCTGAACAACTGCAGGATCCTGTTAGCATGATAAGACTGGTGAAGGGAAATGCTCTGGCAGCTCCAGAGATGGTCAGCTCACATCAACCTGCTGGGCCCTGGTCACTGCCTACCGGACACTACTTGACATGGTACAGCACTGTCAGGGGGAGGAGAGAAGGAGCAAATCCACAGGCACCACGTCCACCCAAACCACAGCTGAGTCAGAGGGAGAAAGAAATGAATCAACCGGCACTGTGTCCACACAAACCATCGAGGAGCCAGAAGAACAACCGAAACCAATAACAGTCGCCCCTGTCCAGAAAAGGAAATCAAAGACTAAATCAGTCTGTATAGCAAATGATGACGAAGAGGCAGGACCTTCACATCCACCGGAGGAGACAGAGTCAGAAATAATCACTCGGTCCCTATCCCTGGGTGAGCTACGTGAGTTCCGGAGAGAGTTCACACGACAGGCGAATGAGTCCATTCTGACCTGGTTGCTCCGAATCTGGGATGCCGCAGCTAATGATAGAATTCTAGATGGGAGTGAAGCCAGACAGCTGGGATCCCTGTCTCGAGATGTAGTCATTGATCAGG